AATAAACAAACGATGTTTGTGTGTTATTCGTAGATGGCGTATGTACAACACCGTTTGTGTACGACAGTTGCGTGAGTCAAAGATGTCCGCTGAGTTGCAGTGATCTACAGGAAGGCTATGGTTGCAATATCGATGATGAATGTGTGGGTGGTTGTAGATGTCCAGAAGGTTACTTGGAAGATTATGGTGGATGTCGACCAATCAGCGAATGTAATTGTATTGACAAAGATAATAATATTTACCTACCAGGTCCAATGGAGTTAGCAGATGATTGTCGACAATGGTAATAGTTTAATAAATTCTTTCCTTTACTTGGAATATTATCCTCGTTCGCAGAAGGCTTAAACAACGTGTAGAGTAATCATTCATGCATTTGTCACGTAATCCCTGCCCAAACAAACATTCTATAATTACCAAACAACGGTAATAGTTTGATAAATTCTTTCCTTTACTTGGAATATTATCCTCGTTCGCAGAAGGCTTAAACAACGTGTAGAGTAATCATTCATGCATTTGTCACGTGATCCCTGCCCAAACAAACATTCTATAATTACCAAACAATTATGCGTTTTGTTTTTATTCGCTATGTAAACATATGCATGTTGTAGCCGAGCATTTGTCAGGACATATGTTAGTATGGCAGAACAACGGTGCACTCTTGTAATAACATAGCAGCTTGCTTGCTACGTAACTTGCGTAACATTGCGCAAAGACTACCACTGGTTAATACTGTGCATTCAATTTGCGCTCAATCCCATTACCTTGTGACCATATTAACACAACTATAATGGCTAATACAAAACATAACATAGCTTGTTGTGTAATATATTCTAAAAATTACGTTATAGTATATAGATTACGTTATGGTACATATATTTTGTTATGGTACAAACAATGTATATAGATTACGTTATGGTACATAGATTACGTTATTGTATATATATTACGTTATGGTACATAGATTACGTCATGGTACATAGATTACGTTATTGTTTATAGATTACGTTATGGTACATAGATTACATTATTGTATATAGATTACGTTATGGTACATAGATTACGTTATTGTATATAGATTACGTTATGGTACATAGATTACATTATGGTATATAGATTACGACTCAGATATGTTATGGAGATCACGATATCTTTATACATTATGATATGTTGTGGGGATTAAGCTATGGTATAGGTATTACGATATGTTATATAGAGTGATCACGATATGTTCATCTCTATGATACTAGTACATAAGAATGTTACGTTGCATTGTCTATGTATTATTACAGTACCTGTCTCGATGGGCGTCTGCAGTGTGAAGAACGTAACTGTTCTATAGACTGTACATGGAGTTCGTGGTCAGTGTGGTCAGGTTGCAGCACTTCGTGTAACAACGGAACAAGGACGCGATTTAGGTCAGTATAAGGTAGTTAGAATGAGCCCAGACGTCCCGGGCAAGAAGTAAATTTCGCTTTATTTTTTCTTCAAAGCGTGTTCTTGTACTTGTCCGTATCTATAATTATATGTCTTCCTGTTGTAGGTGTCCCAGTAACCCAGCAGTATCAGGTGGTGGTAAACTTTGTGAAGGGGAAACTGAAGAAACGTTGCCGTGTTTCTTAACAGAGTGCCCGGATGTATGTGTCATAGATGACGTAGAATACGAAGATGGTCAAATAGTTTCAGCAGATGACTGCAATGAATGGTATAGTTTTTATACATTCATTATTACTCAGCATTCAACGAATTGACATTGGAATATATTAAAACAAACCATACGATTGGTCATTGGACTGTATACTATAATACCCTGCACATCATGAACTATTCCCAGAGTTACGTTATTTGTGAAATGATTCAACGGACTATTCGTTGCCGCGCATGCGTACGCGCTAAAATATTTGCAAATGGCGGCGTTAATTGTGCCACACCGATTCACATTCACACTTGGCTCTATCTTTATTGAGAAACTATTGCATCGAATTTGGCACTCCCGTGGGTATAAAACTGTTCACACTTTTGAACACTATGGCGCCCTAGGGGAGGGGAACTAACAATAAGACAATATCATACTTTTCCTCATAGTAAATTATCGGGCGATTTAGTCACGGTGTTATACTTTTTATCGGCCTGCATATCATTTTGCGAAAATCGGGAATTAGTAAAAATAAAAGCATAACAATATTAAAGGAACTAAAAATAAAAGTTCATAGAAAGAATTGTCAACTTTACAATCCATTCGGAGAGGATTTTACCAGTATGTTCGTTAGTTTGCTGGTTGCATAGAGTCGACTCTAATATGGCGATGTTGGTTCATGACCAATATAAGTTTCGGGCGTTTATATCTCGAATAAATAACCTATGCAGATGGATATGATTATATTTACAAATAAAAAAAGTGTTCTTTTTTGTTTGTTTTTCTAGTCGGTGTATAAATAACACTAAAGTGTGCATAGAATACGAGTGTGCAGGTAGGGAGTGTCTAAATACTAATAACGTAAGTTTACATTGTACGTCATAATGGCGTGTTTTGCGCATGTGCAAGGATTGTACTGAGAACTAGTCTTTTTATACATGACAGGCATGACGTCAGCACCACAACCCTGTACACTGGCAACGATAACTCGCAATATTACCAAGGAGAACGGTTGCTCTCGTGACAATGTGGAGATACAGATATGTCTGGGTGCATGCCATTCATCAACAAAACCGATTCCAGAATACCCGTATTTTATGAGTGATTGTCCATGTTGTAATGGTATACTGAGAGAAGATGGAATGTTCGGTACGTTGGTGCTGATGTGCCCGGATGGCTCTACGCGGGAAGAAGCGTTTCCTCTTTTCAATGGATGTCGGTGTAGCAGTTGTTTTGATGGTCAGTAAGTTTATGCGACGATAATGTAATCATGTAAACACAAATTAACGATAGTTAACATATAATTCTGCAGGAGACGTGTCACCTATAGTACGTACAAACAACTTTTCAACTAAAATACAAACTTGAATAAAAGACAATACACATAGTGCATGTAGACGACATTCAACCTGTAGTACAAGTGCTTGTATATTTCACCTAAAATACAAATAAAGGACAATTCACACAGCACACGCAGACGACATTTCACTATAAAATTCAATAGTTATAGTGCATGCGGACGACATGCAGTATGCAAACGATATTTCTCCTGAACTACAAATAAAAGACAATTTACATATAATATGTGCAGGCGACAATTTGGTCTCGTCTATAAAATAATTGACATTCCACTTAAACAACAATAAGCGCAATTCACATATAATATATACGCCAATTCACCTGTAATGCACCCGTACGACATTTTAACTAAAACAGACGACATTTCGCCATCCACAATTTTATGAAATACAGACTGATGATGTTCTAATACACCAAGTCGCCAAGACAACTCAATATTATTACAACAACTTAAAATTATCTTTTTTTACAGAAACACAGCGTGAATATTTAGAATCATCTGAAGAAGAAATTGTTTGATCTTTGTGTTTACATGTAGTTGTCATTTCTTTCCTTTGTTTCCTCTTTAGCACTATATGATGTTATATTTACTGAATATAAATAGCATTTCTTATCAGATATGAAGTGTGATTCTCTATTCCCAGTGTTGCTAATAACTGTTTGACGTATTGTTAAACAGTTTTATTTTCACTGGCAGTTAATTTCCCTATTTTGACGTTTTGATCAATTTTCACGAGCATGGCAGGATAACAATGAGTTATATTATTTTTGTTTACGGGGAATTATTTTAGCGAATTTTAACGAAATTAGCGAAATTAAAAACCAGCGAATAATTGATGCGCTTACTGTAATGTGTAGTGTTGATACATGCTATACTGAAATACAGAAAGTATGTATTTCATTTCGACTATGTCAGACTAAGCGAAATATGGTCATAATAGCTTAATTGGCAGACACCGCTCCGGGCCGTGTTCGGTAGGTGTACGTAGACGACGAATATAACCCATGTCAAAAAACATTGTTTGTTTGTTTACACAAAATACGAGAGCTGTGATACTACACTGAATGAGCTGTACAAATTGTTCTATATTATCGCTTACTGGTATTTTGCAATAGATAACAAAGCATGTTATTCTGCTTAAAAAAACTAGTTTACTTTTAAGTTATTTATTTATTTAGCGTGTTGAAAGCATTCGTGAAATGTATTTCCATGTCAAATCAGTATGCCACTTTCCCTTCCATCCTCTCGCGTCTCTCCTCCAATGACATCCTTTTATTGGAAGACTTCCCCCTAACTATCATTCTGTTATAGTTAATTTACAATAAAGTTAGCGTGAATTATAATATGACGCGTGCATCATTCATATGTGAACTCAAACGGCTGATGTGTCATGTCGATATGAGAGCGCCACCACACGATGCATGCAATGTTTATGGTCAAACTACAGAAATTTAATTTGTTAAATTCTGTGAAAAATTAACACGATGTAGATGAATGAAAGTAATGCCACTCGATAACGTTATTTTCTGTGTAGTCGTTCTTCGTTTAAAATATAGACGCACTACTTATGTGAATGCTTTTTTTTCAATCAATTGCCTCTTATAAAAGTAGTGTCGTCGTCAGAGGGCGCGAATTACATGAACAGTGTCATGTCGTCTTATTCCTCCATGTTTCATTTGTTATTTATGCTAAACTAGCACTATCGACAACAAAATTGCGTTTTCTAATTATTGTAATCCGACTGTTCCTTGTCTGTATCGTTATTAGTATTGAATATGCAATCGGCTTCGTTTTCAAGGATATGAACTTGGGGCTACGAATATATTGATAAGCTAACAAATGGAGTATATCTACTCAGTCCACGTATGAATACTTATATTACATTTATTAAAAGTTGTAACAGTCAAATTACAGAATTAACAGAAGTGTTTCGAAGTGTTTCGACAAATAATCAATTCCTAACTAAAACATATTGTTAGTTATAATAAGTATACGAAAACGCGTGTTGCTGGGGACACTGGTAGGTAGGGAAATCTGCAGAAGACTGATTCAGAAATTAGGAGAAATCAAAACCATGGTAGTCACAGCTACCCGATCTAGGTGAGTTGAGAAATGGTTTCAGCTCCTCGGCGCGATGACCGATAAATTCACAACACAAACGAGAACAGAAGAATCGCTGGCCACATCCAATACCCACAACAAACGATGACTTCATAGAGCACCTCATACATGGGATCACCGGCATATTATTTCTCATGATCACGTGCCTGCTGCTCAACAGTCCATATATGGTATGGGGTGGTCTCAGACGTCTTTTACCTGCAAACGAGTAAGAATAATTAACACTTCACCGTCATTTATGAATTCAAAAAATCATGAATGTGATATTATGTCTGTCTCATTCGTTAGTCAGTTTTCATTGTAATATGCAAATACACAGCGCTTCTTTAATGGAAAAACTGTTCGAAAAGTTGATTAGTCAAAACGTCGACTTCGTTTTGTTCCGCAGATATCGTTTTGATCTGTAGTCGTCAATCAATGAAGATTATGTTTTTAGAGAAGTTACGGTATTCTAGCATTCTAACCAAGCATCGATTTGAGCTCAGACCACTAAATTAGTGGTCTGAGATTTGAGCGACGTTGCTTTCACTCTCGTCATAGTGACGTCATAGATAAAAGTGCCCGTCACCAAGGGCGCGATTGTAGGAATGCTGTAAACTGGATTTAATCAAGTAATAATATAAAATTTACATGATGGCCAAAATGGGTAGCTATACACATACCCGGCTTCCGATCGAGACGTAGTTAGACAGTCACAAGTTTCAGTGTAGTTGGGCATTTTATGTTTCATAATTAAAATACATGCTTCATACACCTGTTAGTAAGAGACTCCCTATCCGCGCTTCATCAACCTGCAGCAGCACATGTACAGCGGTGTCTTGTGATAGGAATTGATTGCTTCGATTTTTAAGTTCTATTATATTTCCCAGATTTTAAGAGTGAGAAAATTTACATTTTAGGGTGTCTGTGGAAAGACAAATTAAAAATGCATACATGACAGACAATGTGGATTTTTCCTATGTTGCCTCATTACCAGTGTGCCCGAGAGGATCACTTGTTTAAATACGGGTATGTGAGACACCAAATTTAGCTGAAAATCGTGGCGCGGAAGATCAAATTCCTTAAAAACTATGCCTCTTGTCAAGAAAATTCCACGCCTTGAAACAAATATTCAAAGAATCTCACTTCTTACGTGGTTTAAACATGGCTTTGATTCCTGAAAATGTTATAAACATAATTTAGCCGTTGGTAGATTATCCACCACACTTCATTGCGCGCACTGTGAGAAATAACAGTATTGGGCACCGCGGTTAACGTACATTCACTTGACAAAGACAATGTCGAGGTGTCTAACCACTAAAGATCATTTGCATGTGCGCATTTTTATGTTTCGCTTCCAATAACTTATTTTATTTTAGAAAACTCTTCTGTGTTTGGTTTCGTGATTCTGTACTACCAGGGTCAATAAAAGGTTTTGCATACAAAAGATGTGTCATTACGAATACATACCTAAATGTTCGACAGTAACTGGCGTTCCGTTTTCATCATCAGTGGAACCATAGTCGTACATTATAGTATCGTCATCTTGTAGATAGCCATGTAATTCAGTCTCTAAGGGTCTCTCAGTGGAACCAGGTGTACACTCGAGTGCATCCTTTGTCGATTTAATGATGATAGCGGGGTCCTGGAAAAGAGGAATAAATTAGTACTTAAGGTAAAGATGCAGTTTACCTGACAGGTATTTTAATTAGTTAATTAGGAAACCAAGATGACCTCCCTTGTCCACAAAACTATAGATTTTCGGAAAGCTTATTATATGAATTTTTAAATTGTGTTAGTATTTTCTTATGGTCACTGTAGTTTGAAATATGCACAAAAATGTGTTGTTTTTTTGGTCAAAGGTGATTTAAAAAAAAAATAGCTCCTAAACCATGCTTCTGTTTCCTGTCAAAATTGGTTTATGGGTACATCTGTTTATTATGAAGAAAGTGCCGTCTTGAAAACTGTCTACCAGTTGTCAATTTTGAAGGGCAGATATGGGTACATCTGTTTATTATGAAGAAAGTGCCGTCTTGAAAACTGTCTACCAGTTGTAAATTTTGAAGGGCAGCAGCCCAAATTTCACTACTTCAAGTTTATGCATATATTAACACCCAGGCTAGTTGTCTGTACGATTGTTGTAACACTGTTCAACCAAAAACAATACCCCGACGACGTTTTGAAGATAAACACATTGTCAATCATTTGTGAAAATTTCAAAACGAAAGGTCAAAGTTCTGGGATGTGCACTAAAAAGAAGCTGAGATAATTGCTAATAACAATTCACTTAGTAAGTTTGCTAATGCTCATTATTAAAATGGCTGTAACAGTTTCAAATTTAAATGTATTATCGTTTTGTTTATTCAAATATAAAATTAAGTTGATCAAATCTTCTAGAAACATTTATTATTTTATACAGACATAATTGCATAAGTAAATTGATCCTAGTTGAGGTTAATGACACGTGAAATGCGATGTGGACAATTGACATTCATGACACAGAAAATAAAACATTGATTCTGCGCTGAAAGGCCGTCAGAGAGATGCTTAGCTCCTCAAGATGCGGACGTATTTGACATAGATGGCGCCCTTTAGAAACCCGGACGCAACCCCGCGGCCGTCTTTTTCAACTTGAATTGAATTGAATATAGCGTGTATGCAATGCTTTCAGTGTCCACATTTCGGTGACAGTCTTCACAAATTGACACTAAGATAAGAAATGTTTCATTAAAAATAAAAATAGGAGATCGATAGTTACAGCTATTGACACTATGTATATGTATTTATCGGTGGTCATTAATCGTGAGAATAGATTTGGCAGCGCCTATTTTTGGAGTCTGATATGTAGGCGTGAGTACTCACCGGCCGGCCAGCCGAACGGAAGAGAAGGGCGCAACTCACGCGACCACGTCAGGCTACGTCTGCTGGTGACGATTACAAGTGTTTAAAGCGAATTTCATGTAAATAAACAATGTATTTTGCACGCGTTGTATACGTCGCTATGAGTCCCATATCGAACAGGTAGTAATAATGCCGGGTCCAAACGTTGGGGTTATGTCGTCGAAAGATTCAAACGACCAAATACACTGGTTGAATACCCATTGTTGAAACCAGACTCACCTTTTGAAAATTACTATGTGTGTAGAGTTCCATGTTACGACTATGCGTACTTAGGCAGCATTGCATCCAGGTGAAACGAAGTGACATGTCGATATCTTTGAATGATCCATGTAATGGTACTGAAATGTATATCTCAAACTTTCCTGTCAAATAAATATTTACGCATATTACACGTATAATCCCTAACGCTATAGGCGAATGGTTGAAATAATTCTTGCTTAGGCATCAAACATACTTACCAGCCCAATTTGGGCTTTTGGCATGAAATAAATGCACATCCGGTGAACCATCACTAGTGAACCAGCAACCGTCAAGATGAGATAACTTATCACTGTTGGGTACGTGCTTTCCACATCCACCGCATTCCATGGGCACTTCAACGTCCCATGGATTAATGAGTTGTCTTGGAATATAATTATGGCAATTATGTGGTGAAATACTAATAGACAAGCCTGAAAAAACAACATGAATATGAGATTCAACACAAGTTTGTGAAGATTTATCAATCACATGAAAAAAAATGTTCCTGGACATTGCGATTCAATGCGTATATTTTTTAGCAGAGTTTTGAAAAGATACTCACTGCGTCGTTTTTCTTTTCTTTTTGCTTGAACTAGTCTTCTGACCATACCGGGCTTGGAACCACCAATAAACAGGCCATGCTTGTCAAGTTCGACTTTCAGATCATCATCGCTCAGATCCAATAGCTCTAAATGTCCTATCAATTCCGCTTTTCTTCCAGTGACCGGTATGAAACGTTCACGACACAGCATTTTTAATTGTGATATTTTGAGGGCGTCGTAAGGAAGCGACGGTACAATACTCTTCGTGGTTGTCAGTGTTTTCTCTGTTGGCGGTGGGGTGAATGACCATGCAATATCTTCTCTTGGCTGTGCGGGCGGCACCGGCATATACCAGGCATCGTCAACAGTGACTTCCATATCTAACAACAAATAGAAACGAAAATGTGATCATTACTAATATACTACATTTATACAGGCGTATATTTTCAGTATTTGGAGAAAAAAGTTTACTTACTGAAGAGAGGTACGGTGTTGCCGAATAAAATTGTGGGTAACTCGACTTAGAGAGTAGACACGCTGTGATTACGATCTCGAAAATGAATGGGGTGCCCAGATAATGAGTACGACTATTTATATGTGTTACTAGTAAATACAACGTATTCGGACACTAGCCATCGTGTGGTGGCGCTGTAGTGACATCACAATTGTGAACGGATGCTGTGACGTGTGAACTTTGTGCATACGCTAATCTTTTGTTTTACGCTCGTAGGGTGGATGTACGCCACATGTTTGCGTTTCACGCCTTAAACTGATGTGTGTGGCCCTCTCAAGTCAACTTCTTTGTCAGTGGGTGAACTAACGTGTGAACGTTTTGCGTGTGCTAATCTTTTGTGTTACAGTAGTTAGGTGGATCACGGTTACTAAAAAAGACGGTTAGGAAACGCCATTGTTAAAAGGTGTGAATCTGCCTAATCCCTCAAGGATGCGTGTCGCGCTGTGTACGCCCTCTATTGCTTGAGATTTCAAGGTCCACCATTTTGTTTCATTTTTGTGTCGATCATTTGATGTTCCGCGAATTTGAAATT